CTTGCACCATTGCATTTTCAGTGCTGTGGTGAGCTCTAAACCCTGACTGAAACTCTTCAAACTATTTCCTTGCAGATGATCATGTAACTGACCAACAATTATTTTCTCTAGAATTTTTTAGATGAAAGTTAAATTAGATATAGGTCTATAATTGGCTAGTATTCCCGAGTCAGGGTTATGTTTCTTAAGTAAAGGTTTAATTACAGCAATCTTAAAGCTCTGTGGTATGTAACCATTTTTTAAAGTTGTCTCATCTGACCCAGAGCCAGAGGTGATAGTAGGAATGATGGTTTGAAAATTTTCCCTAATTAAAATACAGTAACTATTTATAAAGAATCTCATGAACTCATCAATGCTTAATGTATAGTTGTAGGGATACATGAATTTTAAAAGATTCCACCTACTGGCCCTGAATGACAACTGGCTTGAAGAGTAATGACTTATCTTTAGCTCTGTCTCTACTGCAGCAGCACAACTTTTTGGTTTTTAAGATATTAAATTCAAGGGAGTTGTCATTAAATATTTTCATCAAGGTGTTGACTGCATTCTGATACTGGGGTAGAGCCTCAGTTTCAGTCATGTGTGCCACCAGAGTCATGTCATCTGCATATTTAAAAAGCAACACTGTTGTAGTATTACAAGAGATGCTGGTGGTGTAAAATGAAAAGAACATCGGGATAAACACACACATGAGAAGTCCTTGATTTAAAATAAATTTATAAGATAAAATCATTTAAGAAGACCTACTGGAGCCTGTTCTGTAGAAAATTATGAGTCCATAAAACCAGTGCTGGATGAGTCTGGAGATCTAAAAGGCATTGCAATAAGATGATGTTCACACTAGTAAAAGAAGAGAAGTCCATAAATAAGACCCTGCTGTATGGCTGTGCTGAATCCAGATGTGTAGTGATGGCGTTTAAAAGCATAAGACTGGCATCTTCCACCCCACGCTTCGCTTATAGGCAAACTGGAGTGGATCCAGTCTATCAGACACCATCTTAAGAAAGCCACATACTGTGTTCTCCATGCATATGCATAACACTGAAGTGAAGGCCATCTGTCTGTAGTCCTTTAAATCTTTGACTGAATTGGGATTATTGTAGATTCGTTCCATTGATCAAGGACATATCTAAGGTCTAGAAGCAGTAAGAACGTTTTGGTGCAAACATCATCCAACTAAGAGGCACAGTCCTTCAGAACCCTCCTCTTGAGCATGTCTGGGCCAGGGGCCTTATGGTGGTTGATGTTTTTTCAGGATGGATGTCACCAGATGCTTGCTGATTGTAAGGTGAGGATGGAGGACGCTCGGGAGTGGACAGGTCCAAGTTGTTGGTGTGGTTCCACTATTGAACCGGGTAAACAAACAGTTGAGTTGATCTGCTAGAAAGGAGGGGTCTGAACAATTGATCATTTGGTAACACAGCCCATCATAGTTTTCAGGCCTTGCCAGACCTCTTACATTGCCAGATGTTGAAAGTGGCAAAAGTGTCAAAAGTATGTGAACCTCTAAGACTAGCACTTAATTTGAAGGTAAAATTAGAGTCAGGTGTTTTCAATCAATGGGATGATGATCAGGTGTGACTGTGCACCCTGTTTGATTTAAAGAATAGGATCTATCAAAGTCTGCTCTTCACAACATGTTTGTGGAAGTGGATAATGGCAAGAACAAAGGCGATTTCTAAGGCCCTCAGAGAAAGAGTTGTTGATGCTCACCAGGCAGGAAAAGGTTACAAAACCACCTCAAGTTTGGACTCCACCAATCCACAGTCAGACAGATTATGTAGAAATGGAGGCAATTCAAGAGCAAATTTAACCTCCCCAAGAGTGGTCGACCAACAAAGATCACTCCAAGAGCAAGGGGTGGAATAGTCGGCGAGGTCATAAAGGACCCCAGGGTAACTTCTAAGCAACTGAAGGTCTCACGTTGGCTAATGTTAATGTTCATGAGTCCACCATTAGGAGAACACTGAACAACAATCCAACAATTTTCAGTCAGGTCATCTGGACAGTTTCTTTTTTTTTTTTGTGCTGAAACATTTCACCTTCCATCCAGAAGGCTTCATCAGTCAAGGAAAAACACAAAACAAAACTGATTCTTCCCCCAACAGCTTACTCCAGAGTGGAACAAACCAGTTATGTTGGTGCTAAGATGGTCTCTTTGGCACGCCACCTCCTCCGGTGCTGGCCCTCTTCCTCATCGACAGTCATGTCAAACTGGTTCAAAACCAACAAAGTCCATGCTCAATAATCCAGCTATACAATCCAACAATTTTCAGTCAGGTCATCTGGACAGTTTCTTATTTTGTGCTGGAATGTTTCACCTTCCATCCAGAAGGCTTCATCAGTCAAGGAAACACACAACACAAAACTGATTCTTCCCCCAACAGCTTACTCCAAAGTAGAACAAACCAAAATGTTTTCAGCACAAAAAAAAAAAAAAACTGTCTAGATGACCTGACTGTAAATTGTTGGATTGTATACCTGGATTATTGAGCATGGACTTTGTTGGTACTGAACAACAATGGTGTGCATGGCAGGGTTGCAAGGAGAAAACCACTGCTCTCCAAAAAGAACATTGCTGCTCATCTGCAGTTTGCTAAAGATCACGTGGACAAGCCAGAAGACTGTTGAAGAATGTTTTGTGGATGGATGAGATCAAAATAAAACTTTTTGGTTTAAGTAAGTAAGTAAGTAAAACTTTATTTATATAGCGCTTCTCAAGATAAAAATCACAAAACGCTTCAACAAATCAGATAAACAAAAGCAAAAAAACAAATTCAGGCAAAAGCAAATTTAAAAAGATATGTTTTTAGCTGACTTTTAAAAGAAATCACCGAGTCCAGTGATCGGAGAGTTTGAGGAAGAGAGTTCCAGAGTCTTGGAGCCACGGAAGAAAGGGCTCTATCTCCTTTAGTTTTCAGTTTTGTCTGGGGGACAGTCAGCAGGCCTTGATCACAGAATGAAAAGTGTTATGTTTGGAGAAAAAAAAAACCCACTGCATTCCTGCATAATAACTTTATCCCATCTGTGAAACATGGTGCTGGTAGTATCAGGGTTTGGGACTGTTGTATCTGGGACCAAGTCAGCTTGCCATCATTGATGGAACAGTGAATTCTGAATTATATCAGATAATTCTAAATTCAATTCAATTCAATTCAAAAATATTTTATTAATCCCAAAGGGAAATTAAGAGTTGTTGTAACTCATCATCCTGGTTTAATACGAGTTGTTATAGATACTGATAGCTGTGAGCAGAAAGAATCTCCTGCAGCGAACCTGAAGAATCTAGCCACAGATCCCGATCCGTCCACCCAGATCCAGCTTGCTGTCAGATCCAGCGGGCCTCTCGGTACTTCTGGGCAGCAGGACTGCTCGAATGCTGAGCAGAATTCCTCCCTGAGCGATGATGTCACTCCTCCCAGATGTCTGCCGAGCTCCTCGTCGCCATGGACAGACAGCTGAAGGTGCCAGAGGATGAGCCCGGTCCTCTCGTTGTCACGAGCTGAGTGTTCCAGTGTTCCAGAATCTCAGTGGTCAGGTACTCGAGCACCCTTACCAGGATGATGGGAATTTGTCCACGGTGCCTCCTTTTCAACTCATTTGGGGTATTTGAACTTTGAGATGTTAATCAGCTGCTCCTGGTTGTTAAAAACATCTTGTTGCCATGGTTATGCATCATAACAAATGCCCCAAAGTAAAAAGGTTTCAGTAAAAATCCTTCCAGCTGTACAGCGTCCAATACCAGAGTAAGTAATCATTTGAATAAAGCGATTTACATCCAGAAAAAGCAGAATTAAAGTTTTCCAAAGCAATAATTCAGAATGAAAGTAGCAGAGCTACTCCAACATGCAGCCACACTGAGCGGCACATTTCTAGAACATCAATGAAAACGTCAGGACATTTGTCCATGAACTGAATCTGAAGAGAAGGTGGGTCATGCAGCAAGACAATTACCCTAAGCACACAGGTCGTTCTACAAAAGAATGGTTCAAGAAGAATATAAAGGTAATGTTTTGGAATGGCCAAGGTGAAGTAGTGACCTTAATCCAATCCAGATGTTGTGGAAGGACCTGAAACAGCAGTTACTGTGAGGAAACCCACCATCATCCAGAGTTGAAGCTGTTCTGTACAGAGGAATGGGATAAAATTCCTCCAAGCCGGTGAGCAGGACTGATCAACAGTTACCAGAAACGTTTAGTTTCATTTATTGATGCACGGGGTGGGTTGGGTGGTGTTGTCACACCAGATACTGAACACAAAGGTTCACATATTTTTGCCACTCACAAAAGTCATATTGGATCATTTTCCTCAATAAATAAATGACCAAGTATAATTGTTTTGTCTCATTTGTTTAACTGGATTCTCTTTATCTACTTTTAGGACTTGTGCAAAAATTGATGATGCTTTAAGTTATATTTATACAGAAACACAGAAAATTATAAAGGTTTCACAAACTTTCAAGCAAGCACCACTGTAAGTTTTGATCTACATTTGGGCAACAGCAAGGTAAGGTTATGATCTGACTATCCAAGAGGTGGGCATGATTTTTGATATATGCGGTATACTGTATATATGTGTTCAGGATGTTGCCGTAGCACAAGTCCAACATATTTTGCATTCTGGTGGGAATCATAGCATGTTCCAAAGAGTGTAAGTGTGTGGTGATGCTACATGTTAAAATCACCCATTAAAAATTAAAAAATGCAAGGTAGTGATTGAATGACAAGAATATATTAGAGCTATGCAGACTAGAGTATTGAATATATTTATTTAAAAAAGACTGTTTTAAAGCTACCTCTGTTTATATGTAAAGCCCTGAAGAAAAAGTCAAGATAAAATATAAAACTTAGATTTGACCTTATGCACCTGCTCATTTTTCTGTCTGTAAAAGTGAAAAGCTCTAATTTAATTAACTTTCTGCTGAATGGATCCTAGCTAGCATTCTGATGTTTCCCTTGTGAATGTTAAAGCAGCATGTTTAGCAGTGTCGTAGAACTCACAGTCATGCTCTGACTGCTTGGTTTGGAAACGGTGATGGAACCTTCAAGCCAGGATGAACTCTGGATGCCAGTCTTTTTCCAGAGCTCCACTTCTGCACTGGGAGTTTTTAACAGCACTCTCAACACATTCTGATCATCATAACCATACATGAAATACCGGAACCGAACACAGAACTTTGACGCTGGTGTGGAGATGGCAGGACTCAGCAGACGAGCTTTTTGTCCATTTGGCACGTTGTCACACTCGTGGTAAATGTAGTGGCCATCTGGAAACAGAAGCATTCAGAGAAACATTGCTCAATAATCCAGTCTGGAAAGCTGAACTGATAACAGTTACTGGTTTAATTTAGATTAAAAGTAGAGCATGCTGACTTCCGTCAGGGTAGTCTCCATCAGGACCAGTGCCTGGTGTTGGAGTTGGACCCTTGTGTCGGATCCAGTCATTGTAATCTGCAATGTCCTGTCTGAACTGGCAGAATGGATCGCTGTCCTGGTTGAAGTCACAGCTGGCCACAACATCTGTTGGAAAAGCAGAACACATGACAGGGATCAACTTCACATTTACTATTATTTAATTTAATAATAATATAAACTTAATTTAATTCAAAATTGTACAGTGATCCATGCAAAGCTGAACACAATTTTGTTTCATTTCTCCACAGCAGTGTAGGAGTGAGTACATAATTGTGCCCCCCTCTGTGAGAAGCGACCTGAGACCCTGGGGAAATCCTCTTGTTCTGTTGGAGGGAGTTCACGTCAGCAGACCTACGCCACACGTGTCAGTCTTCACAGACGCGTCCCTGTCAGGCTGGGGAGGCACATGCATGTCTCGAGCTGTGGGGGCGCTGTGGCCACCCCACACAGCAGCTCATTTAAATGTTTTGGAATGTCGCACGGTTTTGAATGTGATTCAACATTTTGCTCCTGTGCTACAGAATCAACATGTTCTGATTCACACAGACAACAAGGTGACTGCTGCATACATAAACCGGCACGGGGGTGTGCGCTCAGCCCAAATGTTACACATTGCGAGACGGCTGATGTGTTAGGCACACCAAATTATGCTCTCCATCAGAGCAGTGTACATCCCCGGTGTTCTGAATAGGGGGGCAGATGTGATGTCCAGGGGCGGTCCGCGTCACGGGGACTGGACCCTCCACCCAGAGCTGATGGTTCAGACGTGGCAGAAATTTGGCAAAGCAGCCGTGGACCTGTTTGCAACATGAGAGAACGCTCAGTGCCAACTATGGTTCTCACTGAGCCACGAGACGAACCACCGCTAGGGGTGGACGCGTTTGCTCACAGCCCGTGGCCCAAAATATTTCTTTATGCATTTCCCCCCCACTCCCTCTGATATCATGGTTTCTGAACCGAGTTCAGGAGAAGGGACTGACAGCCCTCCTGGTGGCTCCCGAGCGCGTGAACGCGCCATGGTTCCCAATTCTATGACTCCTGTTATCGGGGCGCCCGTGGAAACTACCGTGGAGGGAGGATGCTCTCCTCCAGGCAGGCAGAGCTATCAGGAGGTACCCAGAAATAGGCCAGCACCTTGGGGTCTGGCCGCTGAGCAGATCCGTTTAGAGAGGAAGGGTCTCTCCCAAGATGTAGTGCGCACGATCCAGGATTCATGTGCTGCCTCCACCACAGCGCTGTACACATCAAAGTGGACAGCTTTTCAGCGCTGGTGTATGGAGAAAGGTGTAGAGGCCACCTCATGTCCACTAGGTGGCGTGCTGTCCTTTCTGCAGCAGCTGATGGACAGAAATCTGGCATTCAGCACGATTAAAACATACACTGCAGCCATCTCTTCTTGCCACAAAGGTTTCGGGGATAGAACAGCTTTTAATCATCCGCCGATGAAGCATTTTTTAAAAGGTGTACAGAGACGTAGGCCTGTTTCATACCCACTTTCTCCACAGTGGGATTTAACGCTGGTTCTGCGAGCCCTGATCAAAGCTCCATTCGTGCCACTAGATCAGGTTCTGATTAAATTCCTATATCTTAAAACAGCCCTGCTGTTGGCTCTAAAATCCGCTAAGAGGGTGAGTGATTTATCTGCCCTCTCTGTCGCTCCGTCATGTCTCAGAATTCAGGATGATGGCAGCTCAGCTGATCTGAGGCCTAATCCAGCGTTTATGCCTAAAAACATCGCAAGCTCTTTAAATCAAGAGCAATATCGTTGGAGGGATTTTTTCCCTCCTCCCCACAAATCAGAAGAAGAAGCATCTTTCCATCTTCTCTGCCCCGTACGTGCATTGACGTGTTACGTAACACGCACAGCGGCATTGCGTCAGACTCAACAATTGTTTGTGCAGTATAGAGACGCATTTGCAGGTCGCCTGTTATCCACCCAGCGCCTGTCACACTGGTTATATGAGGCCATTTCTGAAGCCTACAGAGCATCAGATTTAGAGCCTCCTGACAACCTCAGGGCGCACTCGACCAGAGGTATCACATCTTCGACTGCTTTGCATAATGTTAAGACAAGCAGGATATTTGCACTGCAGCCACGTGGTCAACATCCTGTTCATTTATTCGCTTTTATCTATGTGATGTGTCGGCTTGTTCCATGACACATTCTGTTCTTAGTGCCTTAACAGAATGAATATTATTGTTTCATGGAGTCTCGTTTAAACTCACATCTGACTGCATGCATTTACAGTGTGAGAGGTTGTTATCAGTCACAGGTTATAACTGTTGTTCATGTTCTATGGTTATTAATCAGTTCAAGACTACTGTCATCAATCAGTTCATTTGATTAATAATCAGTTCATTTATTATTAATCTGTTCATATTGAAGAGCCGTGGATCTGCTCTGCTCACGGCCTTTTTCAGCCTCTCCTTTTTTCCGTTGAAAACCTCTCCGGGGTGTTCATGCATTCGGAACGCGTAAATTATGCAGTGCGCGTCTGTGCATGGTGCGCGTAATTACGCAATGCGCATTTACGCACATGGATAGCTGAGTGACAAGATATTTTTTGGGGCAAGCAGGTGCTTCTTATAGTGTTCGAATGAACCCAGTGAGGCAGAGACTACATCTGCTTCACCCTTAACCCACCAGCGACAGCCTTAAAGGGCGAAGCCTATACGAAATAGAACGTTGGTTACGTACTGTAACTCCAGATTCTATGAGTATAGGCGTAGCCCTTTAAGCGTCAGGCCTCACTGGCTCCTAAATGGCTGAAGAAAAAGCTATTTAGGAGCCGATTACCTGCTCTTAACGTAATTTATATGGACCGGGTGGGGCCCACACAACAGGTGGGCGTGGACTCATTTTTCAGTGCGATGCTTTGCATGACGGGATAAACCCACCAGCGACAGCCTTAAAGGGCTACGCCTATACTCATAGAATCTGGGGTTATAGTACATAACCAACGTTTTAAGATGTAGCCCTAGTGTTAAATTAAAGAAATGCAGATTAAAATTGGTAATTTTATGTTTTCAAAAGAGAAATTTTCACTTCACCGGTGCCTGTCTCTTAAAAAATTACTGGTTAGACAAAGATTATCTTTGATGATTATTTAAATTATGTGATTTGTATATCTTGAACAACATTAACCCTTCACAGGTCTCTGGAGCGGTGCTGAACTAAAATACTGTGAATGCTTTTTAGAACTGTTTAACTATAAAGTGCTTCAGCAGGGATGGATGGCTGTACACCCCCCCCCCCCCCCCCACACACACACACACACATTTTTTTCTCTCTACAGGACATACCAGAAGGAGAATTGAGAACATAAACTGGGCAGATGGAACAACTAGTGAGGTATCAGAGTGTTATGGATGACTGAATACAAGCAACTATTGATCATCAGAAAAGACACAATTCATGATTTTAAGTAATGACTACTGATTCGTCTATAATGTAGATAAACTAAATATTAGAGGTTTTGGATAATTAATTCAACTAGAATATTGTTTAAAATAAGAAAAAAACTTTGCTAGATATTTTACTTCTAAATCACTTAAAATGTTCAGTGACAGAGTTACAGACAGATTAAATCAAATCTATAACAGTTTTTTTCATCTCAGGTAAGATTTCTACAAGTGCTAACAGAGTTGGAATACACTAGTTTTACTTATTTTTAACTATTTGTTTAACAGATACTAACAGAAAATATATAATAATGAATTTTAACAACTACTAACATGATTTAAGACATAGCATTTTTAGAGTGATGCTGCATAATAATTATCAATGACTTGTGAAATTTGGTGCATGGAGAAAAGAGAAAAAACAATAAGTGTTGCTGAGAAAATGTTAAATATGATGACTCAATTCAGAAAAACTTGACAGGGATAGGATGATGGGTAGAAGGATGGACTCGGTCTGGCCGGCCACAGGGTATTTGTGCTGTTTGCATCTCTTATCACCTGTTCAGGTTATCTAAGCTGAAGAAGCTCCAGGAAAGGTGAACACAGGGATCACCTGTGTGAGTTTGTGATCAATGTTCCCAGAGAGGTGTCAGGTGAGTATGAACCTGCAATATGAACCATTGATTTACCCATAATGAATGATAATTGATAATTATATATTGATAATAATTGTAGAAATTTAGATAGATGACTGACGGAGTTTTGTGATATTGTGGGAGAAGGATGTTTGTTCTTTTTTCCCTGATAATGCAACTCCAAACGAGTCGCTGACAGAGAGGCGTTGAGTCCAATGACAGAGGTTTGAAGGATGGAGGCTGGACAGATGTCCAAGGAAATGCCCCTGATGAGGGGGAATGGAGTGCCTGGGGGAAAAAAGTTACCGGTTCTACTCCCTGGGCTGAGAACATCACGCATCAAATGAGGGTGTTATCATTTATCATGAATGAAGTTTCTTTCAGATTCATACTGATCTGGCTGTGACAGTTTATTGACATCATTTATCATTAATAACATCAAATTAACGTTACCAGCACAGTAAAGGTTTTCTATTTTCTGATTTTACTTTTTCATATAGATGAGGAGCGTTTTCAAAATATATTTTTAGCCAATCAAACACTTGAAACTGTGAACTTACTGATTTTATTAAGCTATGAGTTAATAAATGATTACTGATAGACTAGAGTTTTTGGATTTTTACATGAACTGAAATGATTATAGAACACTGTTTTGACATTACAAATATTTATAGGTTGTGTTTACAATGCTAATCAATTAATAATGTGATTATATCTAAAGCTAAGTCTTGGGGATTTTTGAACGATAAATTAGAACAACTGCTAGTATGGAGAAAAGTACTTTTTTGAAAGTAGAGTTACAAATTTCATATCTGTTAATTGATTCCAAATTGATTAGTTGAATGTGGGAGAAGAAAATTACAATTTTTATCTGAAACTAAAAGGGTTTTTTAGAGTGAACTTCTTGATGTTATAACTAAGTGGACCTTCCTAGGAGTGTGTTACAACCTAACAGGAAGGAAGTCAGACACACAGGTGATTACAAGGAAAAATTAACAGATAATATGAAGCTAAGTTGTGGGTAAATTTTAACAATTAATTACAGATGTGTACTTTAGAATTGTGGTT